TAGGTTTGGCTCACATGGCGTGCCTGTGACATGATGCAGGAGGAGGTAGACACTATCAGCGAGAGGGAGTGGCCCTGCAAATGAATTTTCATGTGCATATCAATATATCATATGGAAAAATTGAGGAAATAAAAAGAGAGAAAAAGGAGAGCCTACCTGCTGCTCGCATCTCCCTGGGTAACGGCGGAGGACGCTTGGTGCCTCCTGCGCTGATGCGCTGGCGGTGGCGCGCGCCGTCGCTGCTTCTGAGGAGTACACGAGGACGAAGCGCCATGAGAGAGATGGCCGAGTCGGGCCGCGCTATTGCGTGCAGGCCGCGGCGTGCCCTTCGCGTAGGTGCAGGCATGGCGGCGCAATGGGCTTCCTGCGCCAGCGGCCAGGGGCAGGCGCAGCGGGAGGGGAGGGGGGCGCTCCGGCGTGGTGTCGTCGCAGCTGGCCGGAGGCGAGCCGGAGCGCCGCCGCGCCCTGCGGGCCGCGCAGCGTTCGGCGGAGGGCACAGGCGGGGGAGAGGAAGAGCAAGCGGAGGCTGCGAGGCGGCGGTGCGCAGATGACGGATGCGGTGAGATGGATGTTTGACGGGCCCGTGGGGAGAGGATAGAGGAGGCTGGTGGTACTCGGCGTGGTGGTTTCTGGAAGCGTTCGTGGATGGCCATCCGGGCTCTGCGGACGGGATCCAACGGCCTGAGACGGGGCGACTGTAGATGAATAGTAGTGAGCTGGGTGAGGAAACCGGACGGGAACTGTAGCTAAGGTCACCACGTTTAAAGAAAAAGAAAAGTAGTAATAAAAATAATAGTAATAGTAATAATAAGGTCACCACGTCTAAAGAAGTTTATAGATATACAATACAATGTGGTAAATAATGTACAAGAGTATACATACAGGTAAGTAAATGCAGGACCTTTGAGCTTTGAGTTCAGCTTTCATGGCGTCCGTAGTGAGGATGTAGGCATATCGTTGAACCTCGTTAACAAGTAAATGCATAACACACGGGACACAGATTTATACACTGTTGGTTCAGGTACGTGGTACCTAACGTCCAGTTTAGAGTAGATCTCTTTATCTCGTGTGCTCGAGATACAAAGGGTTGCTGAGTATTGTAAAAGGTACCGATCGGGTGCTCCCTACCCCGCCTTATATACTCCGCGGGTAGGGTTATTACATAGATGATGATCGGTTTATAGATATGTTTCCTAGTTGATTACAAGGAAATAATGACAAAATGGCTATCTTATCTGTAGAGGACCGTGACACCTAAGAGAGGGGTGAATTAGGCAACTTAAAATTCTACTTCTAAACTATGACAATTTTTTCTAACCTTAGCAAAACCTATACAAAAGATAAACTATCTAAATGTGCAACTATAGTTTTGCTAATGTGTTGCTATCTCTACCACAAAAGCAGTACCCAAACAATGTAAATGCGGAAACTAAAGAGCAAGGTAGAGATATGCAAACTCCCATCGATGACTCTGGTATTTTTACCGAGGTATCGAGAAACGCTTAAGCTTCCCCCTAGTCCTCGTTGGAACCCCTCGCAAGGAATCCCTCGCAAGGGCTAAGCTCCCGGTCGGGTAACTCCGTGGATAGTCTTCGGCCTTCCCCACACGCAAGTGGGTCTCCGACGTGCCTTCCGGCAAGCCTCTCCCGGATGCTCCCCGCCGTCTTCTCTATCAAGCTTCCGGTCGAAACGACGTGGGCCTTGTTCCCTTCGATACACGGTGGCGGCCACACCACAAACGCGATTGGTGTGATCTCGTAAGACTACAAGCCCCTCCGATGTACAACAATAGTTTGCGCAAGCACCGAGTGGTAAGAGGTATGCAAACCTCACTAAACACTAGGCCTAAACCTATAGCAAGCGCATAAGCGGTGGTCTAATCAACCTAAGCACTTCGCAAAGCACCTACGCTAATCACCTAATGAATCACTAAGCGCTATGCAAGTGGAGATCACTAAAATGGTATAACAACACCCTAGATATGTTTCCTCAGCTCCACACACCACATTTGGTCGGTTGGGGGTGTATTTATAAGCCCCCACTAAGAAAGTAGCCGTTGGGGACGAAATCCCATTTTTTTTTGCTACTGACCGGACGCTGATCACGTGCGTCCGGTCGTCCCGACCATTGGAGCCGCGATCAACTGATCGGACGCTGCCAGTGTCCGGTCACATGCCACCGGACGCGTCCGGTCTCAGCCTCGCCGTTCTGGAACCTTTCTGTACTCGATCGGACGCTGCAGTCCTACGTCCGGTCGATTTGCTGCCAGCGTCCGGTCGCTGCTGCTGACGCCTTCTGTTGTCGAGCCTCTTGATCAGAGCGTCCGGTCCAGCGTCTGGTCACCTTTGTGAGCTCGTTTCTTCGTGATCTTACATCCGGCTTGGTTCCTATCTTCGTGCTTAGACTTTGCTTGATATCTTGGGTCTTCTCTTGTGCCTCTAATGTCTTGCTTATGGTGTTAATCATCGGATCATCACGTCGCCTTCGTCCAAGTTACGTCTTGCACCCTATTGAACTACAAAACAATCACTTGTAAATTCATTAGTCCAATTTGGTTGTGTTGGTCATTAAATATCAAAATCCAAAGTAAATGGGCCTATGGTCCATTTTCCTTACAATCTCCCCATTTTTTGTGATTGATGACAACACGACCAAAGCAAGTAAATAATAAAAATTTGGAATTTAAAAAACTATTTACTTGCTAGGATGCAATGCAAGGGGCAAGGTTATACGATGCTAAAAGATACTACTTGTAAGACTAGAAGATACCACTTGAAAACTTATCTTGCCCTTGCAAAAATCCCCATGTGGTATTATGGATTTAAGCCTTGCTTATGATCCTACAAATTCTCCCCATTACATAGCCTAATTCATAATCCACTATCCTCCCTTTCTCGGACCATTACCACTTGTAAATTATTAAGATCTAGCTTTTGGTCATATAAATTAATACTTGCTTTTGGTCCTCTAAATTCCCCCCCTTTGGAATCAAACACCGAAAAGGAAGACATTAGTAGCACAACGGAGGGTTAAACTTTGTGATCCTTTGTATGTAGAGTGGAATAGGTCATAAAATTTGACTCTCACATTATATAGACTAAGCTCTCCCTAAATATATGCATACATATGGTATAAAACAAAGCATATGCATAATTGATAAATTATTGCTCAAAGGAATTTAATCTATATAATGCATGGAGAAATCATATAAATATCAAAATGAAATCAACATGACGATATCGGTTTAGAAATACCACATGTGGAAACCAATTTTATTTCTACCACTTGCAATAGGTGGTGGATATTTGAAGTATGATGCTTAACTCCGGGGACTCCATTTTCCTTGCAATGAGACTACTACACACATGATAAGCTTAAAAAGGTGTTAGTCTCAAAGCATCCAACTTGTAGAGTAACCTTCCCCTAAATTTGTGCACACAAGTATGAAATACTTGTAGGAAACATGCACATTGATTTTAGAATCAATAATACCACTTGAAAGATGACATCACATGAATGTGAAAATCATTTTCGAATGTGATATTCGGGAGAAATTATCTATAATTTGGACTTTGGCACATATTAGATGAACAATCGAAAGACAAGCTATGTGCCGTGCTCCTAGACAATTTTAAAACATGTGGGTTTGCTCCAAGGGTTAAGAATGAAACCGAGCAAGCCTACCATAAGATATACCTAGTGTATGCATGACAAAAGATATAAGCATGCAAATATAAACATAGGAATGAAAAGTAACTAGATGCTTAAAGATACCAATTTTTAAGAAATACCACTTGTAAGAAAAGTAAATTGATACTACTTGAAGAAAATACCAATTGAAAATAATAACATCTAGTTACCTAACATGGGAAGGGGAATTTGGGTCCCTAGTATTCACTAACTCACTTGGCAATGACTTTATCTATAATGATGCACCCCATGAAATGCACTCATACTTTGTCAAGTCTTTAAATTCCCCGAAGTCTATCGGACTTCTCACTTCCCTTTCGGGATCCAAACTTTCTTGATGCTCTTCATGTTGGAAATGATCTCCTTTGGCACCCAAATGCGTTTGCCTCTAAGGTCTTGCTTATGGTGTTAATCATCGGATCATCACGTCGCCTTCGTCCAAGTTACGTCTTGCACCCTATTGAACTACAAAAAAATCACTTGCAAATTCATTACTCCAATTTAGTTGTGTTGGTCATCAAATACCAAAATCCAAAGTAAATTGGCCTAAGGTCCATTTTCCTTACAGTATCCTATAGAAGTCAACACCCAAGCTCATTGCGCCATGTTACTTGACCACCACGCTTGACGATGTACCCTGATTTAGGTGGGCCTCGTCTTTGCCAGCCTTCCTGATGGTAATGGGCTTATATCAGGGCGATGAGCTACCCTGGGTCCATATCTCCGACAATATGCTAGTGGAATTTGCTTTTATGAAGATTACCCGCGGCGTTGTTGTGGGCATCACAGATCTTTTGGGATTGAAATTGTACAAATGCTAACTATTGTCTTATGTTGCTCATTATATGGATATATAAGTCGTATAAAGGGCATATTATCATAAATTAATATTTGTGGATGATGTAAATTGCGTGCTACGCTAACGTGGATAACTTGCATGCTGAGATAGCTATACTAGTGGAAGTTTGCTTTTATAAGATATATATAGATTATGCTGGATATATATAATATATATAAATAACCAGGCATGAAAACAACCATTTTAAAATAACTAGCAGTCGGTGTCACATGTACAACGGTACAAATATATATAGTACATACATGTAGTCAACAAATAAAGGAAACTAGCTAGCCCTCGAATTTGGTGTGTGGCGGGAAGACAAATTAACATAGATCGGCACATATATAGCACATGCCAAGGGTGGAAACAAGAAAAACCAAAGATGGGGTGGAAAAAAGAAAAACCAAAGATGCCACCACACGGTCCACACCCAACAATTCTTCAGTAGATAGAGATATCACATGTTCGGTTAGCAAACCCCTCTTCCTTCTTCAGCAGCTGCTGCGACACCAGCAGCGTCTAGCCTACCGGTGATCCCGGCGTGTGCGAGCATTGCCCAGAGGAGCGTGATCAGCTCGCCGCCATGCGAAATGGCCTCCGCATGCGCTTCCAAGTTCTCCGATGGGGCGACGTACAGGATCATCTCCACCCAGAAGCGGGCCAGCTTCTCCCATCCCATAGAGTCCTCCACCAGCTCCTTCCCGAGCCTCGCGCCATTCCTAAGGACCTCATGGTTGGAGTCGTCTGCACTCAGCACTCGGATGAGCTGATCATACAGGTCTACTCCCTGCACCTTGGCTAGGAGACGGTCGGCGTCTTTCTTCACCTGATCATACAGGTTACGGCACCATTCAGCATCGTCAGGGAGCAGCTCAGGGCGGCTGGTCACCAAGTAGGTGCAGTAGCGCGACAGGTGCGTGGCGACAGTCTTGTGGTCCGAGTCCGATGGCTGTGGGAGCTGGCTCACCTCAAACACACTTGTGGCCATGTGCCAGACGAGTATGGTGTAACCAGCTGGTTGTCTGCCACTGCAACCATATTGTGAGAGAGGAACCGGAGATGACGGTGGTCGAATGCACTGCAAATATATAAAACAGTGCAAACAGTTGTATTCCATGCATTTGGAAGGCAAACAAGAATACATATATATGACTTGAAATAAAATCTGCAACGCAAATAATAAGAAGATCGTACATACCCAGACAGCTCCATGGTCAACCTGCTCGGTGGTAAAGCTCTCTCCTTTGAGTGTTTCAAAGATGGCGGCCTTCACAATGTTTGGTACCTTCACCTTCTTCCCTGTGTCTAGTGAACGTAGGAGTCGGCACAGAAGAAGTGGGGTTTTCCTTCGGCGAAGCACAAGAACTGAGCACTGTTTCATCTTGTCGTCCCAATTGTTCACCAGCTTGCATCTGCGATACTTCAACAGGGAGCAAATGCATTTCTGCACAACACGGGATCGCTGCCAACAAGCCTGATTGACATGGTGGCAAATGAGGGCTACTTTAGTCCAGTTGGAACAGATGTAGGAAACAATCTCTCTCGCCTCTGCAAGCACAAGCACTGCAATGGCTAAATATAAAGGTACCATGTCGTAGTACAAACTCCCGTATCTAAAGAACACTCCATAAGGTCCAAAACCAGTAGTATCATTATCTCCACAATGTTGCGTTTTCAACTTCACCCAACATATTATCTGGCCAGGGTCTCCATAAATGAAGAAACGTAGTGTCGGGTCCACAAGGACCACAACCAGAAATAAACAGTAACCGATGCTCCAGAGTGAAAGCGTGACGCCAAAGGCAGGAAGCAGAGGATGGGTATAGTAGATTGGCAGGGATGAATAATAATAATCATTGATGAATGAAAGCTCATCCTTAATTATCCCAAACACTCTCTCGTAATGATCATCATCCTTGAGTAATGTCTTCCTGAAAAACTTACTAGTCTTGATGAAGCCGGCCTCAGAAACTGTGTACTTTGCGAACCGACATCGTAGCAGCTTGAACAAGGCGAATGAATAGCACAGATCTTTGGGCCGTGCCGTTGAGGTCTGAAGAATAATGTCCTTGTCATCTAACCCCCAAACTCGGTCTAGTGTCACCAGGTTGTTTGCCCTGGTCAAATCTCCATCTCCCTGGTCGTCGGGCATCTGTATTAAGTTGTAACCACGAGGCTGCTCCTCCACCTGCACTTTATCCTCGCCCATAACTATAAGAGCAGGGGGAGGTGTTGATGCTGTGTGCTCATCATGCACCGGCTGCTGGAGCTGATCCATGTAGCCGGCGATGAGACGAGGACTGCGTCCGAGTGCAAAAGATCGTCGAGCCTTGTAAAATGTGGCGTACTTGAAAAACAACTTAGCAAACATAATAACAAATAGCTGAACAAGAGCAGTACTCGTGTACAGGGTTGTTGATGAGAATGTGAGGTATGCACTCCAGCTTGCTTTAACCAACAGTATTACAGGCGGGGCATTGTTTCTACCTTCTCTTGCATCACCAGCAACTACTGCACTTGCACTGATACCAATGGCTACCACAACTCCTGTCCATGCAAAGACCAGGAAGAGGTGCGACGTATCATCGCACTCAACTTCTGTGAGTAAAGATACGATGAGGTCATGAACGCTTTCAATGTTGGTGACAATGATGGAAACGATGGGGAGGAATAAAGTGGTGGCTCCCAGAAAGACTGCACCGATCACTGGATGTCGGCGATGCCGCGGCGCGTAGGCGCCTATAACCACCACCACACCCATCAAGATGGCGTCCAACAACATGAGCATGCTCGCTCGGAGCGTTTTCGTTCTCATGTGAAGAGATATAGGCTGTAGCTTGTTGTAGTTGTCCCACAGGATAGTACAATTAGGATTATTCATGATCGTGGAGCCCTGATGCAATGAGCCGGCTATCGAGTCTGAGAATATACTATTCAATTCTGCAACAGTATATATATATATAAGCAATTAAAGAAATAGTACTTATCAAACTCTGTGATACTAGGCAAAATAATCTAATCGCTACTTTTGGCACAACTTCCTCGATCGTGAAATCAAAATTTCCTATATAAAGGAACATATATACAAGAGTGTTTAATTTCTTGAAAATTACTACCTACCCACATACCTATCTGCTACATTCTTTTCAAATGGTATGTTTTAACTTTTTCTAGGTACATATATTTTGCTATGTGTCCAAATATACGTTATTTCCAGTAAAAACTATGTATCTATGAAGACCAAAACGGCTTACAATTTAAAACGGATAGAGCATCCCTGTATTAATTTAAAAAATGTGGATCCCCCAGCATGGTATACCTAAAAGATGCCTCAAGATTCTTAAAAAATAAGCAAAACTATTGGTGCTTCGTCTCCGTTCCACCAGATCCTTAAAAAATAAGCAAAACTATTCATGCTTTATCTCCATTCCACCAAATTTCGCATGATTCATACCTTATTACTTGAGTAAGTCACCTACCATCCAAAAATTGTTATAGGATACACTGAGGTAAAGTTTTTGCTAGTGTAAAAATCCTACGTGCTTTGGGTAAAAAAAAAACAGACTTAATGATGAGGTTCTGGTGGCAGCCTATAGGCCATTATATCTATGTACCATCTACCGTATACTTTATTTCGGTATACCACTTTTGTTCTCTCACGAGGACACGTCGTCTGGTACTGTACACCACTATTCTACTACTGTCCAGCACTGTTCTTTCTTTTTTCTTCTTTTTTGCTCTTGGTTATCTGTTAAGTAACAAATCAGTTTTCTTTTTTGGCGTACAACACATGCTGCCTCCACGTTAAAATAATTTGTAAGGCAGTCTTTATTTGATTTTGCATGAAAAAAAACGTAACTTCACCTGCGCGAAGCGCAGGGTAACGCTAGTAACTATAAAATTTGTTGGGACATCATTAGACTGAAGTACTGGACTTGATTGAGGCGCTCTAATTTTTGGCTTCTATAACCTAAAAACATATAAGCTGCACCTAGCAAATGAGTCTAATCTATATATGTCATGCTCCCAAAGGGAGTCCCCCATAGCGGGCCAAGCGGGCCAGTGGCAGCCCGGGACATGTCGGCGGCCCAGGCCGCGAGCCTCCTGCGCGTGGCACAGGAAGGCGCGGCAAGGGGGGCGGCGCCCCTCCACCTCCTCGTCATCCCGAGTTCTAGGTAGTTTAGAAAAATAAAGATATTTAGGAAAAGAGTACGAATAATAGGTAGAGATTTGTTTAGAAAAGATGAGTCCAAATTTATAAGGACTCCTTGATAGATTGTTTAGTATGCAAGTCCAATAGGGACTATAAATATAGGGGCATTGTAACTATTCCAATTCAAGAAGAAAATAGAGCCTTGCTCTTTAAACAAATATCTCTCTCTCTCTAGCGCCGCCGCCCCTCTCCCTGCCTCCTTGCGCTCAACGCTGCCGCTGCCCCTGGTCACGCCGCCACCGCAGCACATGCCGCCACACCTGCCCTGACCGCCCTCCAGCCGGCCACACCCCCACCAAGCCCTTGACACATAGTATCTAGAGACCAGATCGATCCTATGACCACCTCCACCTACACCATGATCGCCGAGATCAATAAGATGATGACCATCTTCTCCGCCAGCATGAGCAGCCGCTTTGACGAGATAAACGCGAACTTCGCCAAGTTCAACATCTGCCTCGCCAACATTGAGCGCCAACGCTCCCCTAAGGCACGTGAGGCCACAACCAAGGAGCTTGAGGAGGAGACCAAGCGCGTCATGGAGGACGCCGGCCATGCCTTCCTCAAGAGAAGGCACAAGACGGCCAACACCACCACACCTCCTGATCTCGTGGACGCTGTGGCGAACAAGCTGTTCACCACATCTTCCCCATCTACAGAGCCACCGAGGAGCATCGTCAACACCACTGCTACAACTTCATTGTCGGTGTTTCGAGTAAATTTGTATTTGTTGCGCGTTAGGCCCGGATGGTGTGCTAAAAGACACAAGGTTTATACTGGTTCGGGCAGAATGTCCCTACGTCCAGTTTGCTGCTGCTTGTGTTATTAGCACTGAAAGGTTCATAGTAGGGGGTATAAACGGTTGAGAGAAGGACAGGTCCCAAGTCTCTGATGGAAAGGTTGAAAGGGCGCTGAGAGCTTGGTTGCTGCTCAGTTGTGTGTTATGTGGTGCGTGATGTGTTGAATCGATCCATCCCCTTAGTGGGGTGCCCTGCCCTCCCTTTAATAGATCAAGGGAGAGCAGGGATTACAAATGGGAGAAAGAGGAAAAACCAAAGGCAGAGAAGGTCCTTCGAAGGTGCTTGGTCTTCCTTTTCCTTTGAGCCTGTCCCGCTAACACGGCAGACGGTGCCAGGGATAGCATGTTCGCTGATCCTGATAGGGCCGTACTCCGGCTTCGTTCAACAAGTGCTCACGTCCCGTCCCACCCCAGCGGGCGGCGTGACACACCAGGGTGCTGAGCCACGACCCTATGGGGAGCAGACGGCGTAGAGGCCACACGTTTGTTACAGTAGATGACATGAGTTTCCTTCTTGGACCGTAGTGGTTGTCGTATGTTTCCGTCAGGATTCGTGTCCGAGGGCAAATGCCGGCGCCCATAACACTATAGGATAAATGTTGGCGCCCGCAACACTGTTTGGGCTCTGACATGCCTGGAAGGGCTTAAAGCGCCCGTCTGGTCATATCCTGACTGTACTTTCCAGCAGGCGTGCAGGGTATGGTCCTCAGTATTGCGGTTGACTTGAGTGTCTCGCCTTATCTACGCGCGTAATTACGGCGAGGCGGAGTCCGCCCTGAGACGTCGGGCGAGGCAGAGCCCAGCCCCCGGATGTTGGGCGAGGAGGAGCCTAGTCCCCGGACGTCGGGCGAGGCGGAGCCTGCTCCTAGATGTCGGGTGAGGCGGGGCCAGCCCTCAGTCGTTGGGCGAGGCGGAGTCTGCCCCTAGACGTAGGGCGAGGCAGAACCAGCCCCCGAACGTTGGGCGAGGCGGAGTCTGCCCATAGACATCGGGCGAGGCGGATCCAGCCCTCGGACGTCGGGCGAGGCGGAGCCTGCTCCCAGTCGTCGGGCGAGGCGGAGTCAGCCCTCAGGGGTCGGGCGAGGCGGAGCCAACCATCGGTCATTGGGCAAGAAGTGTAGTTGCGTTCTTGTCTGTTCGGAACCATCAACGTTTGATGGTTATTAGCTCCTCCTCTTTGGGTACCCCAGTATTCGGTCCTCGATAGTAGCCCCCGGGTGACTCGGATAGAATTGTCCAAGGGGTGATTTGTCTTGCCAGAGGGTGCGCGCGAGCGCACCCGACGGGTGTAGCCCACAAGCCCCCGGGTGATTCGGATAGAATTGCCTAGGGGGTATTTTGATTCGCCAGAGGGTACGCTCGAGCGCACCCATCGGGTGTAGCCCCCGGGTGATTTGGATAGAATCGCTTAGGGGGTAATTCAGACCCTTCGTGGGTATGGCTATGAGATTTGGTGTTTTGATAACTGGATAGTTTAAAGGGAACCCTGGTATCCCGTTCGTGGGGATTCATCCAGGATCAGCCCGGTTGAGACTCGATCGTGGATCGAGACTCCCTTGGGGCTCGTGCGCCTGAGTTTTGGCCGCTCGCGGGCCCACCCTTCGTTGGGACGGCCATCGAAACCATTGGGCCAGCCCTCAAACTCCTAGGCCCAGGCGGGCCGGAGAAACGCTTTTTGACCCGTATCCCTTCCACGGGAAAAGGGTCCTGGTCTGCCCAGGAAGGCGAAATGTCCGACGCGACTTTGGTGGAAAAGGATAGGGATTGGGGGTGCATATTCCACGTGGTGATGTGGTGGTGAATCATGGCAGGTGCGGAGATCCAGGCAGACGGTTGCCTTCCTCGCATCCGTCGCCCCTATAAAACCAAAGGGTTCACCCCATGATTTCGTACATTGCCTCCTTACCTTTGCATCTACAACCTCCGCCGCCAATCGCCTAAGCCTCCCGCATCCACATCTCAGCCACTGTCATGTTCACATCCACCCTCCCCAATCGTTCAATGGAGCCATGGTGTAGATCCGATGTCACCCTCCAGCGCCTGGAGGGCCTCGTTCGCCGTGGCCTTCTTTGCGCGTGGACCGCCACCGAGGAGTGGCGGCTGCCCGGCAATGAGGACGCACCGTCGCCGCCCGAAGGTTATGTTGTGTCCTTTGCTCACTTCCACGAGTGGGGATTCACCACCCTAGCCCACAAGTTCCTTCGGGGGTTGCTGAATTACTACAAGGTGGAGCTGCAACACCTTAATCCCAATGGGATCCAGCACATTGCGACGTTCGTCGCCCTATGTGAGGGGTTCCTGGGGATTAGTCCCCACTTTGACCTGTGGCGGTATTTCTTCGCCGTCACCCTCCTGAAGAAGCGGGAGAAGAGGCAGGAGCTGAGCGTGCCGATGGGATGCGCCGGCATTTAGCTCCGCAACAATCGGGTAAACGAATACCCGCCGATCCGTCTATCGACCTCCAACAAGGGGTGGCATTCACATTGGTTCTACGTCAAGGACGACGCAGCCACCCCCTTGCCAGCGTTCATCGGGTGCCTGATCGAAGAGGTCTTAGAATCATGGAGGAAGTGGGGGGTCCCGGATAAAGACAAGAAGAAAATCTAGGACCATCTCGCCGCCATCTGAATTTTGAAGGAGAGGGACGTGAAGGGATCGGGGATCATCAGCGCCTACCATATGAGGCGCGTGCTTCCCCTACACATGATGGTGCCCGGGGTGTCCCTCGATGGGATGGTGCTCACCAAGGGAGCGCTCTCCTCCTTCGAGGTGGCGTAGCGCATCAAGGAGGCGATGGAGCCTTCGCGGGACGACGCCAGCGCCATTCTTGATTTTGTGTATCCGGTGCCGGGGCACCCCCAATGCGGTCGGAACCAGGGTACATCGACTTCGCAAGTTCTCTTTCCCTGTGCCTCCTTTTTACTTGAACTCCCGACCCCTTGATGCTGACATTGAGATAGCGGGACCAGCCAAAGAGACTCGTCTTTATGGATCGCTCGGCCCCGCTGTGGAAGGGCCCGCTCGTGGCGGCGGCGAATCGCACCGTGGCTGAGTGGCAGAAGAAGACGAAGGAAGTCAAGAGGAAAAAGAAGCAGCAGAAACTACAGGCACGAGAGCGAGGAGAGGAGACAGACAGTGACGACGACGACGACAATGATGAGGAAGACGATGAGGTAGTTGCTGACGCCGAGTGGGATGACCTGGAGAGCGAGGATACTTTGACAGGTACGCACTCATCTATGCAGGGACCCTTCCCGTTTCATGCGTGGGGAAGTGAGTCCGTGAGGCCGACGGAGACGGGCTGAACCGTCGGCCCATCCTCAGGACCAGTGGGAGTGGGCGGCTCTACCACCACTCCTGAGGTGCCATCGAAGGGGAGTGGCCCTGCCGCCGTGCTTCAAGAGGCAGCAGGGGCGGGCGGATCTACCACCACACTCAAGGTGCCGGTGGAGGGGGGGTGGCTCTGCTGCTGTGCCCCAAGTGCTAATAGGGGTGGGCAGATCTACCACCTTACCCAAGGTGCTGACAGAGGGGGGTGGCCCCACCGTAGTGCCCCCAGAGGCAAGGGAGGCGAGCCCCTCTACCTAGGAGCAGGGGGCAGGCTCAAAACGGTCCCGCCCCAACGAGGCAGAGCAGAGACCTGGGGGTTCATCCCCCAAACAGCCCCGCCCAACAGCGCCGATGTAAGCCACTAGTTCCTCTGCTTTCATCGTGACTCATGCCTTTTGTGTTCTTGCAGCGTCTTAAGGCGGTGCGGTTTTTTGGCGGTGACGCCCAAGAAGAGCGTTGCCATTCCGGCGAGACGGGGGCCATCGCCCAACGTTGCTCCTGTTTTGGGCAGGAGCGGAGCCGATGTTGCGGCCTCGTCGGTCGGTCAGGCATAGCCCGTGGTGGCGCCCGTGCCCTCGATGGGTCAAGCGGACACCGGGGCTGAAGGAGTGCCCTCGGAGGTCGCTGAGCAAACAGCGGCGGAGGTGATTCTGCTACCCACGTCAAAGCGGACGGAGCTGCCGCTCGCGCTTGTGGCGCCGTCTGTGGTGGGCGTGGCGCCGCAAGCCGAGGCCCCGGTGTCGCAAGCGGAGGTGGCCATGACCATGACAAGCTAGGCGCAGCCAGACACATCTACGGTGGTGCCCAAGGAAGTGGCGTGATTCGTGCCACCAGCGGCCCAGGTGATGGCACCCGAGGCGGGCTAGATGGAGGGGGACACGGCCGAAGGGTCCCTGGGTGTCGTGGCAGAGGTCGAGAGGACCAGCGGGGGGTCACCCTTGGCCCTGAGGTCGGGGGGCGGCCGCTCGCCCACGCAGGGTGAGTCACTGCTCCAGTGGATGGATCCTCAAGACCTAACGTCGATTCTCTTCTCGCTCGACGATGCTACCGAGAGCATAGAGCGGGAGAGTCTCAACAAAGGGATCTAAGCTATGATGGAAGTCCTGAACTAGGCCAGGGGTGTCATGGGCGACATCATCATTCCGACTGGCTAGGTATCTGCTTAATCTCCCTTCTCACTTTCTTCTTTCGTCATGTATTTTTGTGTTTTTGACATTGATCTTCTTTTCAGTCCCTTATCACTCGTAGCCGGGAGAAATCCCGGATCCTCCGAGAGCAGAAGGTGGAATGGGACCGCCTCACCGAGGAGGCCCGACTGGCTGAGCTGACTCCCCTAGCCGAGGAGGCAGCCAGTCTTCGGTAGCGGGAGGCCGAGGCACATCGGGACGCGGAGGATGCCACGCGGATGTTCTAGGATCTATCAGCAA